TAACATAAATAAATAAAATCTTAAAAAAAAAAAAAAAAGAACTGATACTTCCAACCTTCTGCACATATGCTCCCACAAGCATGCATGGAATCTTGACAGCCACCACTGAGGCCAGGACTAGGGATGGGCAGGACAGGGACGACCCTAAAATGAAACAATCAGGAGACAGGAGATGAACTGGAACTCTTCAGCCTGTGGGCTAAGCCTCTATAACTCCCTCATGAAAAATGTAGGAATTCAGATTCTAATATACCCCGCTTTTTAAAAAAATGTTATTGATTTATTTTAGAGAAAGAGAGAGAGGAGGGGAGAGGGGCAGAGGAAGAGGGAGAGAGAAACTTAAGCAGACTCCACACTGAGCTCAGAGCCCGACGCAGGGCTGGATCTCATGACCCTGAGATCACAACCTGAGCTGAAACCAAGAGTCGGGCGCTTAACCAACTGAGCCATCCAGGCGCCCCTCTAATATACCCTTTAAATAAGAAAATATTTAAGGAACATCTTGTATGTGCCAGGCACTATGGCAGGTATTTTATAATATTATCTCAAATCCTTACAGCAATTCCTCAAGGCAGATACACTGCATTCTGTACATTTGAACAAATTGAGACTTGGAGAGGTTGTAACTTGGTCAAGATCACGCAAGTAGCAAGTAGAAAAACTAAGATTTATATACAAGTTTTTTAGGCTTCCAAGCACACTCCCATTTCATTAGGGTCCACCACCAAAATACAGGTTTATTGAAACAAAGGTGGAAGTTCCAACACTTAACCCCACAGCTGCCTGACCACCCCATTGCCCTCCTCCTCCTCCATTTTACAACCCATGTTCCTTTCTTACCCCCAGCTGCTCTACAGCCAATGGAGAGAAAGACAGCATCACCCTGATCTCCATGAAGAATATCAACATGAATAACAGCAAAGGATGCCCCACAGCAGAGAAGGTACATTTTTCCTGGTTCCTTCCTCCCTTCTCTCTCCTTTTCTTACCTTCAGGTTCTAGTTCCTTAACCAGAAAGGAGATACTTTCAGAGATGCAGGCTCTGCTCTCCTCTTCCCTAACCCGCCACTCCCGAGAAGTCACCCTTTTTCATGATGTATTTATTTTGCAGGTTCTTTAGAAGCAATGTTGGGTCCCCATGGGTCAAAGGATGACGCAGCTGCCCTATGTCTGTAAAGAGGAAGGCGATGGAAGTGGTAGAGGCACGAACCACATATAAATTATTTTATTATTTCACACTTACTCCAAGATCTAAAAGGACACTGGCATTCCTCCAGATCTAGGAGCAAGCTGCCAGTATGAGAGACTCTTTCCCATATGGGCAGCCACTCTGGAAACACAGCCTGCTCCTCCCACCTGCTCACCGTCACAGGAAGGGGGAGTCTGGAGAGCAAGAGCAAGGAAAATGACAAAGTGGAGTGGCCTTTGCTACTTTGCATTAAAATTATTTTCTGGCCGACGGTCTAATTTCTTTTAAGGTCTGTGCTCTCGTGCGTGTTTGTTAACGGTGCTCTAGCAGCTGCGGGGTCTCCTTTCCTGGGCAAGGTATGGATCCAAGTTTCTGCCCCTGTGGGGAGCTCTCTGAGCAACCTGCGAGGTAGACTGAACATTTTGTCAGGTCTGCCTCAGTTCCCCCGGATTATTAAGGAGGAATGAGGTCCTGAGGGACTAATCGCTTCAAGAGAGGAGAGAGAAAGGGAGCTGGAAACAGTGACCATTCGTCACCAGTAAAGACGTGTTGAACCTGGAGAGTGAGAACATGAGAGGCACAGCGCATTCTGACTAGGGAAGTCCAGCAGGGAGAGCTGAGTAATATGAGGGCAGATGTCCTCTGCCTGCCTCAGGGTAGACATGCCTCGCTTTGGTCCTAGCTATTGGAATAACACTGGGGAGGTCTGGAACAGGGGTAGGTCTGTGACTTCATAAGCCAAAACCCACCCCCTTTACCCCATACAGCTGTAATCTTTGTGTCCTAGAAAGAGAATAAAGGGTGACAAACACTCTTAAGTCTTTTAAAGGGAAGGAGGAAAAGCAGTTATTCATTTTCTTAGAAATCTCCACCATGACACTGGTTTGGAAATGAATCTTGGTTGGGGAAAATTCAGTGGAAGAGTCACCTGTGTGTGTCTGCACAGAGGGGTTAACTTTATAAGTATCTGCTAGTTGGCAGTTCAGATTACAAGGAGCTTACACATTCGGAACAACGTGCAACAATATGCTATTTGCTTCTGGATTTAGACTCTGCGAGATGATCTGAGAGAGAAAGCCTGGAACAATTTCTTTGCAACTATTCAAGCGGACTGAAGAAACCTATTGGATTCTAAAATCTTCTAGGACAAGGCTTGAAATCTAGTCACCTCTGTAGCTATTTGGTACATGGTGCCCAGCACATCGACGGTCATAAAAACTGGCTCTTGAGGGCAGGAATTGTCATCACAGGCTGAGCTGTGCAGCTGGGCAAAATCACTCCCCAGCTCCCAGCCTGTTTTCTTACTTTTAAAGCAAGGTGGCTGGACTATTTGGTCTTCACTATCTTTTCTGGTTCTTATATTCTACAGTTCTATAAACTCTAGATGTAAGAAAAAATGAACACAATCTTTTGAGTAGAGATCACCCTGGGTGGAAGCCAGAGACAAGTCTTAGGTGAGTCTGGGCAAGTCTTCTACATTCTCTGGACTTAAGATTTCCCTGTGTCTTGGGGCGCCTGGGTGGCTCAGTCGTTAAGTGTCTGCCTTCGGCTCAGGTCATGACCCAGTGTCCTGGGATCAAGCCCCACATCGGGCTCCCTGCTCCGCGGGAAGCCTACTTCTCCCTCCCCCACTCCCCCTGCTTGTGTTCCCACTCTTGCTGTCTCTCTCTCTGTCATCTTTAAAAAAAAAAAAAAAAAGATTTCCCTGTGTCTTGAGGGAAGAATGATTCCTAACTGGCCTTTGGTAGCTACTTGGTAGGTAAAATGGAATAGTAAATGTGGAGACATGTGGGAAGCAGAAGTACTAGTTGGCAATTGCAGCAGACAATGTGGAGTATCACCACCCAGGTCTCACTTCAAGGTCAACGCGCTGTTTCCCCAGCTGTTAGGAGTGTTGGCTGCTCAAAATTAAAAAAAAAAAAAAGGAGCATTGGCTGCTGAGGGCTCATAGCTGGCTGATGACTGGTTGATGGGGGTGGGATAAAGACCTAGACCTCTTGCCTCAATTTCCCCCTCTGTCCAATCCGGCTTCCCTTACTCCTCACAGCTCTTGTTCCCAGGAGCACTCACCAATAAACCCTCAGCACGCAAATCTCAGAGTCTCAGAGTCTATTTCCAACCTATGACAGCAATACTACAGCATTTTAAAAAATACTACAGCATTTTAAAAAATAATTTATTTGGGGAGAGGGGCAGAGGGAGAGGGAAAAGCAGGCTCCCTGCTGAGCAGGGAGCTCAATCCCAGGACCCTGGGATCATGACCTGAGCCAAAGGCAAATGCTTAACCAACTGAGTCACCCAGGTGCCCCTAAAATATGACAGCATTTTTAAAAATAACTCAGAGATATTTATTTAAGCCACACTGCAAAAAGCACGACTTCCTAGCCAGTTCCAGCACACACAAAAAAATCCATCATTGTGATAGAACTCTCCAGGTGACATAACAATGTCTAGAAGTACTAGATTCTGTTTGAATTGTTGTTGTTATTCTGGCTGCCATGGGCACTTCATTCAGCTGCTTATCATACTGGACAAATTAGGTCAAGAACATGAGGTTCACTCTAGGTAACTCAGTTGATGTCTCCATTCTAAGACAAACTTCCCCCTGACTCTGGACAATGTCCTGCAGATATGAGCTGTTAGTCATAAGGTATTTATATGCGGGGGAAAGGGTGTGAACTGGTATGAATATGAGATTGGATGGCTTTTACCCAGAAACCGACATTGCAGTTCTTCATTAGCCAGGTTGCTTTTCCTGTTGCTAAATAGCTTTCCTTTGAGAAGGGGGCAAGGATGAATTCACTTAATTCTCTAGCAAACTGCTTTAGAAGGAGTTCTGCTAGAGGATCCTACTATATATGCAAATACAAGAACCCACCTCTGATAGGAAATCCGAGTGCAGCCTTCTGCAGCCCCTGCAACTTCCCTGAGACAGTATCTCTTCCTTGATGTCTAGACAACAGGATGGTGGCCATTTACAAGACAGCTTCCTCCCTATTCTAACACAGGACTAGATGGCCCCAAAGCAGGAACAGGTGGTGGGGTGGGGTGGTTACTGTAAAGGGTCCTTCTTTTGCTTCTTTCCCCATCTTATAGGAGGACAACCAACAAACCAGCTCAGGCACACAGGCCCAGTTGGACAGAGGGAACATTTACTCAGTATCTTTCTTCCAGGGATAAATGGGGCAGTATCTCAATCATATAGGGCACAAGGCAAACCTCAGTATCACCAGCAAAAATTCACTACAGTTCAACAAATATTTCTAAAAGTAGAGAAAACTGATAGAAATCAGAGGCCAGCTCTCAGTAAAATGATTTAGCAGATGAAGGATCATTGCAGGCCCCTTGGCCTAGTACATGCATATAATTTCCTAAAGCCAGGCTAGTACTAATCAATTCAATTTGAATCTGTTGGACAACATCGTGTGGCTCTGCTCAGCGGTCTCCTTCTGGATTTGTGGACGTCCTTTATCACCTCTTTGAACTTCTTTCTATACCTACGTCCTTCTCCTTGAGAACCACCTCAGAGTTCCCAAATTCTCTTCCCTTATTTCCTTCCCAGTTGCTTCCTCACTCCTCCTGCTGGTTACTTTCCCCGGGCACCTCCATCCTGAACCTTCTGAGCCCAAAGCTTCCTCTTTTAACAGACACAGAGACTGAATTTGATAGTGGGAATTGTTTTGTTGAGTGGTTGGTGTGCTTAAGCCAAAACTGGCACAGAAGTGTTCTAAATGTTGAGGTTTGGAGTTCTAAGTTAGTCTTAGTGCTACAGTCATAGAAACATTCATCTAGTAGTGTTAATTCAGGTGTAAATGAGCTAAAGGGTATGTTTGCTGGCAATATCTGACAAGGTTACCATGCTAAGCCATTTTTTACTGATTTAGGACTAAATGAGTCTTATAGAAAAAAAGTGGGGAGTGAGGTTTCAGAGGACAATGGAAAAGGTTTGTTGAGGTACCAGACATTTCCAAAAGGCTGCAACTTCCCAAATCTTGTTCAGCATTCTTGAACCTGGACTCTACTCCTAAGTAGCCCCATAATTCACAGTACCCCTTCTCAATCCAATTACTCCCCACAGTGCTCTAGCACCCCCACTATCAATCAGATACCTCTCACTTCATAGCACTCTGACATTTCTGAGTACCTCCAGACCTTAGCCCTGTGCCCCTAGACTCTTAAGGCATACCCCGCCTTCCCCTGTCCATATTTTAGAGCAGTCTAGTTTCTCAAAACCAAATAAATTTCCTTCTTAAGTTTAATCACCTAATGTATATCCCTGATCAGGTCCCTTGTCTGCAAAGCACAAGTGGCTTCCTTAGCATACTGATGCTCATATATCCTAGAGCCACCACTAACTGCAGGGAAGGAATAAGAACTGCATACAACTGGAGGAGTTTACCCTATCAGTTTGTGTCTCCAGCTGATCATCTCCCAGTCCCCAAATGCCTAAGTAGCTGCTGCTTGGTATCATAGTTGGCATACTGATGTGTTCTTCCTGGGTAAGATCTCAATGAATTCTAAGTAATTTTTTGTTTTGGAATGAATTGATCATTTTTCACTTTTGAAACCTGATCTTTGGCCATCCCAATTCACCCGCAGGCACGAGTCAGTAAGGCACTATGAGAATTGCTTTTATTCTTTGCTAGGCCCCATGCAGACCTGAGTGGGAAAACGCAGGAATATTTTACTTTCCTTTTACTAATTCCGTAGGGCCTTCAGAAAACAAGCAAATGGGCCACGGAAACGAGTGGGGTGGAACAGAAGAGAAAAGTCTCAGAGGTGCCCTGGAGTAGGATGGGATGGATGAAGGATAAGGAACAGCAAAGATAGGGGCTTTAATGCTGGCTCCAACACCTGCCCCTTTCTTCTTTCTCTACCCCTAGACCCCAGAGGTCCCTCGAATGGTGCTGTGCCAAAGCAAACGCACGAAGAGGGGCATACCCAGACTGCCCTCTACATAAATCTACCTCACTTTTCTGTTTTCTTGGTTCTTAAAATCTCAGGATTGGGTTCACATCCCCAAAACCCGTCTCTCAATCTCCAGGACCAAACATACACTTTGCACAGAACGGGCATTAGCATATATTTTAAAAGGACATCCTTGAGATGAATAGTCATACTGTGATCCTCTAGTTTGCAAAACCTTTCCCAGGCAGGATTTCATCGCGCCTCCCTGAATGCCCCCAGTGTTAGGTGAGGCCGAAGCCACTATTCCCACGCTACAGACGAGTAAAAGTGTGGTCCGCAGTCGCCCAGCAGTCAACCAGCAGCAACAAACCTCCACAGACCTCACTTCCTAGGGTCGAGCCCCACACGCCCCTACAACTCCAACAGCCCCTCCCTCGGAGCCTGCCGGGAGTTGTAGTCCAATGTCCCGCGGCTCCTATGAGTTGGACTACAATGACCAGCATGCCCCGCGCTTCTCGCCCCGTCCCTTTCAGCCTCGGGCGCTGGGGAGGCTCCGCAGACCTGCTGATTGGGAACCGATATGGCTGCGACTCTGGGCAGCGGAGAGCGCTGGACCGAAGGTACCAGGTCCTTGCCGGAGGGTGGGACAGGGCAGAGTTGGGAGAGGGATGGAGCTCCTTGAGATTACTGAGGGCTGAGACCCTGGGCCTGAGGTGAAGGATGGAGGCCTATGAAGAGATGCTGAGCCTGAGTAGGGTTCCGAATTAGGTGGGGGACCGCCCAGGGCAGGGGCCGGGATCTGAAAATCAGGAGCGCTGGCTCAAGCTAAGGAACTGGCTAGGAGCCCAGAGTACCCGTGATGACTTTTTTGCCTACGGCCCCCAGCCCCGCCCCGTCTTGGCCCGTGCCCAGCTTAGGGCCCGCGGTGGTCAGGTCCCGCCTGTGCCAGGGTGGCTGGGAGGTCAGCAGGGTGATGCGGATTCCCACAGGTTGCTTTTCCAGCCCCTATCCTCGCTCCGCCCAAGTAGGCCGCCTGACTCTCAATCTCCGTTTGGTCCTGTTCCTGCAGCCCACATCAGGACCGATAGGCCGGCCTTTTCCATCCTGCAGTCAAGCAAAGAGTATTGATTCAATACCTATTATGTACCCTGCATTATGCTGATCGTGCAGTAGGGATCTGACAGACTTGGGCCCTTGAGATCACAAAACTCACAATCCATTGAGGGAGTTCGACAGGTAGACAGACAATTACGAAACAGAGCCACTAAGTCCTGAGCTACACAGCAAGGTCTTAGGTTTGGGAAGCACACTGACAGCCTGGGTGTCAGAGGAGGCCTCAGGAAGAAAGTGTGACATATGATGACATGAAGGATGCTTTGGAGTTAGTCAGGATGACTTAGAGGAAGAATGTTGTAAGCAGAGGGAACAGCATGTGCAAAGGCACAGAGAAAAGAGAAAGCATTGCTGATCTGAAAGGCATTTGGTGTGGCTAGAGCATAGGCTGCCAAAGAGCTCGTGGTGACGGAGGAGGCTGCAGAGGCAGGCTGAGCCTATAAGAAATTTGGACAAGGAGCAGTGGGTAGTCACTAAGGGATTTTAGGCAGGAGAGAGACATTTTTAAAGCCTCTTCCAGATCCTCCAGACAGGACCTGAGTCTTCTGCCTTCCTTGACTGGATTGCTATGGCCTTCTTTACATTCTCCAGGTGTTATGATGAATCGAATCTTCTCCCTTTAAACTATAACCCCTTTGTGGTCAGAAGTAGGTCTTACCCATATATCTAGCCAAGTGTGTTGTTCTATAACTGCTAGTTTAAAAGAACTGAACTCACCCCTACTTTAAATCTTAGTGGTGGGAAGCATGGCAACAACAACAACAACAAATTATTTTATGAGCAATGTGACTTCTGACCATGGATCACAGAAAAATAGGCTTCCCCCTCCACTGCACTAAAGGTAGACACCTTTTGAAAGGCAAGGTCCTGAGGAGATGCCTCTTAAGCCCCTTCTCTGGCTCTGATTCAAAATTATTTGTTGAATGACCACTGTAGGTATGGTGGACATTATTATGCTTCATATTTCTAGCATTATAAGTTTTTCATGGTTGCCTCCATATTTACTATATTATTTTCTCAAGGAAGATGTTCATTCAATTTTATATGGATGCTTAAAAGTCAGTATGATGTCAGTAGTTTGGCCTTCACACTCATGGCCACAAGGAGCCTCCCTGATAGCGAGGGCAGGTAGCAAAGTTAATTGCAGATCAGACTGAGGCCTAACGGAGGGGCTATTGCTTTGCAGCTTACATTGATGCAGTTAGAAGAAACAAATACCCAGAAGATAGACTTCCTAAAAGTCATGATCCCTGTGGGTGCTGTAACTGCATGAAAGTGCAAAAGGAAAAGAAGTCTGAGCATGAGTGGAATGCAACCCGACAGGGTGAGGGAAGTGCCACTTACACTGAGGAACAGCTGCTCGGGGTACAAAGGTGAGTCTATGGTGGGATTCAATGAGTGATTTTAATGTAGAGTTCCTGGCAGAATGTGTTACATAAGCATTGACTGTTATTGGTACTTTTATTATTATTATGGAAGCACAACAGCTTCTTGGCTTCAGAGGCAAGACTAGGTGGGAGTGGAGTGTTAGGGTGTAATCTGAGGTAACTTTACTGCTTCTGTGTCGGAGAGGCAGGGAAAACCAACTAGATGAAACAGACATCTATACAACAGTCTAGCCAACAACATCAGAATACACATTCTTCTCAATATACATGAAACATTCTCCAGGATAGATCAGATGTTAGGCTGCAAAACAAGTGTCAATAAATTTAAAAGGATTAAAATCATACAATGTATGTTCTCTGATATCAACAACAGAAGCAAATTTAGGAAATTCACAAATATGTGAAAATTAAACAATATATTCCTGAAATAACAAAAAGGTCACAGAAGAAATCATACGAAAAATTAGAAAATACTTTGAGATGAATGAAAATGAAAACACAACATACCAAAATATACAGGATGCAACTAAAGCAATACATAGAAGGACATTTATAGCTGTAAATGTTTATATATATATATATATATATTTAAAAATCTCAGATCAGTAACCTAATCTTCCACCTTAACAAACCAGAAAAAGAAGAGCAAAAAGAGTACACTAAATCCAAGCAAGCAGAATGAAGGAAATAATATAGAGTGGAAATAAATGAAATCGAGGTTAGAAAAACAATAGAAAATCAACAAAACCAAAAGTTGGCTTTTTGAAAATATCAACAAAATTGAAAAACCCTTAGCTAGGCTAACCAAGAAAAAGAGAGAAGACTCAAATAACTAAAATCAGAAATAAAAGAGGGGACATCACTACCAATCTTACAATGATAATAAAGATTTTAAAAGGATACTATGAACAATTGTACGCCAACAAATTAGATAACCTAGATGAAACAGACAAATTTTAGAAATGTACAAACTAGGAAATCATACAGACCTACCACAAATACAGCGATTAAATTAATAATAAAAAAATTTTACCCTGTGACCCAGCAGTTGCACTACTAGGTTTTTACCCGAAGGATACAAACAGTGATCCGAAGGGGCACCTGCACCCCAATGTTTATAGCAGCAATGTCCACAATCACCAAACTATGGAAAGAGTGCAGATGTCCATTGACAGATGAATGGATAAAGAAGAATGGATAAAGAATATACACACACACACACACACACACACATAGATACATAAAATGGAATATTACTCAGACATCAAAAAAATGAAATCTTGCCATTTGCAATGATGCGGATGGAATTAGAGGGTATCATGCTAAGCGAAATAGCCAATCAGAGAAAGACAATTATATGATTTCACTTATATGTGGAATTAAGAAACAAAACAGGATCATAGGGGAAGGGAGGGAAAAATAAAATAAGACAAAATTAGAGAGGGAGACAAACCATAAGAGACTTTTAACTATAGGAAACAAACAGGGTTGCTGGGGGTAGGGGGTGGACGGATGGGGCAACTGGGTGACAGGCATTAAGGATGTAATGAGCACTGGGTGTTATATGCAAATGATAAATCACTGAACTACCTCTGAAACTATCTCTGAAACTGTTAACACACTATATGTTAATTTTTTTCC